GAAGCCAAAAGATATCATGCTTGGAACAGGTTCCTCCTGAACTTTCCTCAAGGTCTTTTCCAGGTTGGAAACAGAAAACTGGACTCTAAACATCAATGCAGAATCATGAACAGAGAAGTTGTTGTCAATTGACTAAAAAAAGCTTTCATCTTGCCTCTCTTTGATGGGTCAAGAGTAGAAAACCCAACATATACTGGCCTGATAGAGTAGTATGGGCCCCATGGGAGAGACTGCATTTCAGCCAATGGCCTTAAATCCAAATGTTTGTCCTGGATGTCCTCTCTTTGTCTTAATGGTTCATGGCAGCGACTGCAAAAATAGCTTGAGCATCATAAGCGTTTATTTGCGGAATTTGTTGGATACTAACTTAAAGGAAGATTAAGTCATACATTTCAGCACATGATAAAAAGGAAAGAATAAAATCATGAATACCAGTTTCGCCTACAAAGAAAACTCCTGGTTATTTTAAGAGAAGATTTCCAATACCTAAATGCAGCATTTGACAGCAGAAAAGTACAGCCAAGAGGAGCAAACACACGGGACAAGCACTTTTTATTCAGTGTAATGTGAAACCAGCTGAGACACAAGAAGGTAGGAAGGAATTAAGTAATATTTTTAACTTGAAAAGTAGGAACATCTTAAATTCAGACATTTATGAAACCAGCAAAGAGCATAACCTCCTGAAAGAATAGTTTGCATTTCGGCTCAGCCATATAATACCATAACAGCAGCTTAAAAATGGTTGCTGGGCACTGCGGTAGCTGTGGCACAAGGGACCCAAGTCTTTACAACAAAGTACTGGCTCCGCTGCAAATACCGCGGCTATGTAAATTCGTTTAAGCAATCCTAGTGGTATGTACTTCAGCTTCTCGCTGAAACACAGCTCCAAATTTTCAATGAATTGCTGACAAAATATTTTTTCTACAGTCCAGCCAGAGAAACGTTCAAAGCTTAGCTTTAAACTTGATGAGAAAAAAGTCAAAAATCTTTCTATGCACTTTTACCTGGCTGTATTTGCTGCACGTCCTTCCGCATGGGAAAATAACACAGTTCTTAGGTAGGAGAAATGTGCTTTAGTGATAAACCAAGCATGAGCAGACTCATACAATACGCAACACTAAAAATGGATACCAAAGCAACAACAACATGCTAGAGATCAAAGTTACAGTAAACACGTCCTCAAAGCGATGATTTTGTCAAGCTCTCATACATCTAATTGCAGAAAACTGCAATTCCAAGATGCAAAAACACTTCAGAGATAGCTCTTATGAGGGAATACCTGTTTATTATAAGACACATAAAAACCTATATAGTTCCAACAGTTACCATAAAGTGTTAGCAATACTGCATATCAGCACTGACACAGTAAAGCTTAGCTCTTATCAAAGATACATCCTACACACAAGAGTATTTGAATTTTACCAGCCAAATTAAACAGCATTCCTCCGACCAAAATGAGAAATTCTGTTTATTGTGCATCTTCTTTGTTCACAGTAAAGTACGTGTCAGGAAGTCATTTCAAAACCCAGGCCTATGTAGTCTAAATTGCAGCTACCACAGGGTCCCCGGTCCCAGAATAAGGGACATCCAGCTCCACTTGTGACAGGGTGGAGCAGGCTTGCTCTGCCCAACGAAAAGAACGGAGCAGCACTTCAGGCTGGTCAATGGAGAACAATGAAATATTCCTAATGCTTTCCTAGAGAAATGAGATGCAACATGGCTGGAAACAGAATGTGTGAATCAACAGGAGATTTAGCATGAGGAGTTGCCATGCTGGTTTTGCTTCTGTGAACTAAAAAAAGACAAGTCAGAGCAATCAGTGCAGTCACAGCTGAGAGCCGTGACAACTTCTACTGACTAGAACAGAAGTCACCGAGCAGCTAGGGAAGCTCCTCAGCCAACATTATTAGGATGAAGGATGCTAGACCTGGTCCATCTCTGTGGAGAGTCTTTCAGGACACTGCTCACAATCCCATTCTACAGCTTTTCCTATAAGTGTGTTACAGAAGAAACGCTCCTTAGCCAAATAACCTACTTTGAATAAACTACTTTGAACCTACTGGAGCTCAAAATCATATTTTTGTCTGTATTATTGCCCTGAAAAGCAAGTCAGAAAGCTCATTGCTTCATAACATGGCACCTGAAGTAAACTACAAACTTATAGATCTTATTTTGAAAAGTTAAGACCTCATATACATGAATAGGTTTCCGTAATTTAAATAAAGTTAATAGAATGAGGATATTGCAAAGGAAGTTTTGCTTTAAACATTTTAATTCTCAAAGAAGAGAAAGTATGAACAGGCTATGATGTAGCTCAAAGTGAGGAAAGGCAGAAACTTGCACGTTTGAGCCGACAGATACAATAGATTATCAACCATTCACTAAAAGACAATTTATACCTCGGTGACTGAAAATGCTGAGTGACTGAGGATGATTTAATAAGATTGTAGACATCTGCATTCGTCTCAAAAAAAGAAGTAGTGCAGTGTACAGAAAGTATACTTTCAGATCTACCTCAAGACTATCCTTAGGACACCCATAGACTAATATTTAAGAAAAAAAATCATTTGGGCTGGAAGGTTTGCCGAGTGCACTTCTGGTGAACTACCAAAAAGTGCTTCAGTAACAGCTGCTTTACAAATATGAACTTGATAAAGCAACGGCAAAAAAGAATCCAAGATACAAGCTGCAGGCACCTTGTGAAAACACAGTTATTCATAAGATTAAGCGGATGCTCTCTGTAATTAAAGCCAAAACACGAATGACTTGCTTGTGAAATATATGCTGAGTTAATACAGTCACGGTAGCAGCAGAAATCATGATAATTCTGGGAAAAAATACAAAAAAAAAATCTGAGTATTGCAGTTTCTTTCAGGATAGAAATTACTTTTAAAAATAATAATATGTCTAATATGAAAAACACATTTTTTGATTTAAATTACCCTCAGTTAGGTCTTTTTTTTTTCTTCCTCACAATAGGAGCAGATAAAAAGTGAGGTAAAGCAGAGAAAAAAAAAAAAAGCATGTCCTTCAAATCAAAGAAGAAATAGAGTATTAAAATAATAACTTAGGTGAGGATCAAGAAACAGAGGAAAATCAGTACAAGATGAATCAAGGCAACAAAACAAGAGGCTAAAACTACAAACCTTTCAGTTCCTATCAGTCAGGCTAATGTTTTTTGAATATCTATTCAATACTTGGCATTGCATTGTTACGATATACATTTTGGTTTGTACTTCCATTTGTCAATGCACTTTACGTGTGCTGACTGTGAAAACAGTGCCAACATTACACAAAGATTATTATTTATAATTCATGTTCAAGAACACTGCATAAAATGCCAAGAATCTTGTGTTTTTTCTTTCACTTGGGAAAAGCAGTGAAGAGCTTTGAGGCTAAATTAGCCAATACTGTATAAAGAATATAAAATTATAATTTTCTTAATGCCTGGAAGGTATTCGAACGTTTTTTGTATATATGCTGTATGAGAAACATAACACTTTAAAGAAATTTAAGTGGTAAGCACACTGAACCAGCTTTATAGTGGACCTATTGTTAATCTTTTCTACATATCTCTTTTCCTTCAACACAATCTTCAATAAAAGCTTGCCTTTCTTATTTTCAAGGCTACTCTGAAGAGGAAAACAAACACATAAACAAACAACTTTCCCCTCATCCCTGCATCAAACAAGCATAGAAAAGGCAAGGCAAAGGAAGACATTTTCCTTACAAAGTCTATAAAATGCATTTCTGGTTACAAAGAAAATGGGTAGCTCAGAGTGTATTTTGATGCTGCATTTATTCTGCAATTACCTTCTAAATATATATTTAATAGCATTACCACCTTTTCCAGACTTCCCTGGCTCTCAGAATATTCCAAATAGATTTAGGCATACTTTCAATACATGAAGAAATGAAAGATAATCAGTGTCATTATCTGAAAAACAAAGTAATTCTCATATCTTTATACTGACTGAGGCCAAATTTATGGATGCGATCCTCTGCCACATGCTTGTTACTTCTGAAATAGTAATCTGATCACCGGACCTGAAACTTTAGGTACATTTGTTTCCTTGAAACTATGTCTTTAATAAATTGACCTGGTTATGAAAAAACCTACCCCCAAAATACTTTTTAATCAAAACAAAACTAAGCTATTAAATTATATTTGCATTTCATTCAATCATTTTAGGTCTGGAAGATTTTTCCAATAGCTAGTAAAATCCTAACATCTCTTCCTAATTACATTTTGAATATAAACTTCCAAAGAAAGCTACAAAAACAGATTTTTGTTTTCACTGTCTTTTTCATTCACTGCTTTGCCCTTTGGAATGCCTCATATGAAAATGAAAGTGAAATATTATGTGTACCCTTGCTGAAGCAGGACAGAAGAGTTCTCGAAAGTGTAACTGTCAACTTTGACAAAAATAGCCATTAGAAAAATAAAATAAAAAAACCTCACATTTTGATTAGGCACTCAAGCTAAGAAAACAAAACTTTCAGCATTCACAAACACAGAACATTTGCTCAGTTTCTGTGTAGAAATGTTTGCTCATTGCATAAGGACAGCACATCTGCCAAAACTTGCATGCCATACTCAAGCATTTGTCATAGGAATCTTCCCTGTATGTCCAGTAAGGAAAAATGTTAAGTCAATTTTCTGCCTTACTTTTCTTTCAAAAATCTCTACAAGCCAACATAGAGGTATAATGAATTTGCATCATACAATCTGTTCTTTTAGTGAAATAGTGATGTGATTTTAAAATTCCTGTCCATATCCTCCACAAAAGTGTGGTGCTACTTTATGCCTTACTTAATGAATTCAAAACAGAGTGAGTAAAAGTATTATGAAAATAATCATTATTCCTAACTAATGACTTCTAAATAGATTGTCATTTATTACTTACCTGCATCACAAATTTATACCTTCTATACACAGATTTACACCAGAGAAAAAATTATTTAAAAGGGGGAGGGGGAAGAAATCTAAAGTTACGCACGACCACTCAGTCTCCAACTCTTCTCTGTAGACTTTGAGGACATGGAGAGGCACAGTCAAGTTCCCAGGATTCAGCAGTTCTCTCACTCTCTCTGAATTCAGACAGGTGAAGAGGACCATACAACAATAGGCAACAATTTTCTCATCACTATAAGTAAGGCAGGTCCTTCAAAAGAAAACAAAGACTTAAAAACAAGAGTTACAACTGGAGCAAAGCAGTAATAACATTCAACAAACTGAGTTGCTTTGGTCTGTGGTATTTTAATGAAGCCAGGATTTGTAGCTGCTTGAGAGGCATAGAAGTCACAACAACAACAACAAAAAAACACACATAGAAATACAACTACTTTCTGGTAATTTTCTACTACTGGTAAAATTACTACTGGTAATTTTCAAAATTAACGATAAAGTCAAGCTAACGAGACTTGGAAACTAGGTAAAGTTAAGAACTACAACTATCTGCTCTCATTACCATGAGATAAGAACTTCATACTGGTTAAGAGGGCTCCAAATAGAGGCTCTCATATGAATATGACATACTCTTTTGATATTGATGTTTCTGTTCCGTAAACAAAAAAAATAGCCAAATGCACACCCAATATTGTCAAGTGTCTCCATAAATGAGATTATATAATATTTTGTTACACATATATCACCAATCTCTAAAATGAGATCTGGGGGCTGTTAGGATGGGAGCAGAAGGCTTAGAAGATGAAGTAGACTTTGTACATTACCTCTGATCCCAAATCCCAACAGTTTTGCACAGCAGCAACATGAATAAAGGAAAAGTTATGTTCTTGGAAAGGATCAGGGTATAAATATTTGAAAACATCTCTGAAATCTGAAATAAGGCTTAGATTTGAAGTTCATCATGTAAAAGAGAATTTTCTTCCAATGTCTGCTAAACGCAATTAATCTACTGTACAGTTTAGAAGAGGCAGGTCTTTAAAGGTCCTGACCCCTGCGGTTGAGTAACCAAAAAAAAAAAAAAATCTACAGGATATGGCCTCAACTGTCTCATTCTCCCCAAAGTTATTTTTCAAAACTTTACACTGTGAGCAGGACAACTACCGTGTACAAAAGATCTGAATATAACCACAGAAATTACGCTATAAAAAAAAAAAAAAAAACCCGCATCCATGCTTACAAGAAGAGATCTGGGAAAGCACACTTCCAAATGCTATTCTGGGAATCTCCATTTCCTGCTGCAACGTTTCCAAGAAATTGGAGGCTACAACGAAAAGCTGAAGAAAATAGAATATTTATTAGTGGGAAATGCAAAGAAACACTAATGACCTTCACCTAAATGGCAAGCTTTTCAACATTACAGCTCTACACTATGGACCCTATGTCAATTAAGCCTTGAATGCAGCAATTCACTGTCATTATACTTACTATTCACTTTTTCTCTTTTAATCCAACTAATTTTACAAACAATTCTAGAAATGTACCCAAAATAAATCCATTTTCCAATGAGAGTTACATTAATAGCAAACACTGGCTACCACTGAATACAAAAAAACACCCGATTCTATGGAACGATAGGTTTAACAGATGGAAACCAATGTAAGCTTAGAATTATGTTTGGTGCAAACTGAAGCAGAGCCATGGGGAACGGGTGGCTGCCACACAGCAGTGGCCGTTTTGCCTCTTCCAGCTTTGTGGTCACTTTTTTCTTAGTATTAAATTAATGCAAACAGGCTACCTGTCATCACCAGCCCTCTGCGAGAGCAGCTCAGCCTGCTACCAAGAGAGCTCTCCATACACAATCCCCAAGATTGCAGAGAGAAATAGTGAAAAAAATTGCATGTGGCAGGTCCAGTCATGGCAAAAGAACCAAATATGCTCTCCCACATTAAGTTATAGGTACATGGACAAATCTTTCTGCAATATAGGGTAGCACACAACACTTTAAGGTTCCTATCCTTGAAGAAATTAAAGCCAGTAGACAAAGCAAGACTGTCTCCAATTTTAACACTAAATTTAATATGCCAGAATTATACCATCATTACAAAGGATTTATTCCATCCTCTTCTCTCTCTCTCTCTCTCTCTCTATATATATATATATATACACACACATTTAAAATACGTAGACAAGGTATTTCATCATGCATGTTAATATCCAAGAGCCCCCCCAAAAGTCAAGAGGGGAATTAATAAAACAAAAATAGTCAGTCCATAGACCCCACAATATTCAAACACTTTTTGGCACTATTGACAGCTCTGAATAGCCTGGCCCTTCTTTATAGGTTGGCAAAGAAACTTTAAATACTACAATACAGCTTAACAGATATTACAAACAGCAGCCTAATACAGATGGTCATGACTGACATTGCCAGGTTTGAAAATATAAAAGAAGATTCCTAAAAGGTGATATGCCAGCTGGCAGCCAGATTTCCTATAGAGGTCTGGGTACATGTCCTCTTAGGAAGAAAAGGAAAGCATGTCTAAACTGAAGTTTCTTGGGCTTTTTTTTTTTGGTATACATTTTTAAGCCCAAAATATGCATCTCCTATGGTGCATTCTGAAACACCTTTTCCTTTACTCTCCATTTTATGAGACTTCAGAACTGCTTGTCTGCACTTTTAAAAATTATTTTCTGCCAAGCATTATTCTTCCACTATTCCTCTCCATGTGGTTCCCATCCTGCTGACTCGGATTTTTTTCTGAAGGACAGCAAGCACGGGCACACTACTTGTCTAGTGAACATTTTACGGAAATACTTTCCTGCTATAAAAAACTAACAAGGCTGTAAATCCTGGGAATAGGGTATTATTCCTCTTGGTAAACTCCTTACCTACTGCACTAGTAGAAAGAATGAACTCTAAAAAAAGACATGAAATAGTCTGGCTATACTCCATTCCTTACCTGATATGTAGCTGACCTCCATTCCTTACCTGATATTTAACTGACCTTGTAAGTTACAGACAGCACACTGGACATCAGTTATCAAGATGTCAAAAATACCACTAACTAGGAAAAGTTTAAAAAAATTCTTTAAAAAAAAAGTTCTTATTATAACAATGAAGCGCTGTCGATGTGATTAAAATAGCAAATATGTTAGAAATTCTCCATTAATCACATAAGGGTGCATTAGCATTTATGAAAGCAATCAGCCATTTTGTTTAACACTGTCTTTGTTTGATCATGACCTCCTGGATGTGGAAGGATGAGGGGAAAGGTTGTTATTGGCTGGATGTACTGGGGATGGGAAAGTTAAACTCTCAGTGCTCGTTTTTTAGCAGTTATGGCCAACATTTCTCTTTCAGAAGACAAAAAAAAAATCCCGTCTCGTGATGAGCCTCAGCAACTTAAGAAAGATGCAATGCTACAAACATTTGAGTTGCTTAAGCTTTTCCAAGAGCACAAATTACACAACATAGCACCAAACTCTGAATGCGTACAGTCAATTCAACAGCTCTGTCAGAACTACACTGCTACTGCTACACTGTTTCTACAGTGCACAACTTCTTTTCCCCGTTACTCCCTCCTCAGTAACAAGCGAGGTCACCTAGCACCACAAAAATACGTACTTCATTTCACAGTATGCAGCTTAATGCAAGGTCAATGACGTGTATGTGTGAATATTCCTGTGGCATGTCCAGTAATTATGGATAAAGAGCCAAGGTGAAGAGGAGCAAATAGCATGAAGTAGTAGCTCCTCACAGCACATCCTCCAAAACACCTGAAAGTGCAGTTACGCCTCTAGGAATCAGTTCCCCCTGGCCGGAGTACGCAGGCGGCTAAAATGTGGCCTTTCTCTCCCAAGACAATTCCACATAGAAAGTAGGAGCCTAGCATCGATACCAAATAATAGTAGATTTTGATTTAAGCACTGGAAATTTGTACTTAGGACTTTTTCTTTTATTTAAGAATACAAAATCTAAGCTGCTAAATCACGGTAGGATATGAGTGTCCTACTATAGTACCCAACTACAAAAGCCATTTTGAGCACTCCATTTCAGTGTTTCTCTATCACGTTTTTATCTTTGTTGGGCTCTACTACTGCAACACATCTCTGAACTATGGTTAGAAATCTCTAGCATCCAGTGATACAGCTTCAACAGCTTCACTGTCCTTACACTAGCAAGCAACTCTAGAATCAAGCCATTAAATCAAGCTTCATTATACAGCATGACAGCTGAAGCAATTTCACTATCTAGTCTATAAATCATTCTTCTTTTTGCCTTTTCAGAAAACAAAAAGGCTACTTCACTTTTTCTCAAAGACTTAAAATCTTTATGAAGCTAAAAATAATCATCAACCTCTCTTTCCAGATGCATTTGCTAGCATTTGGGATAAATTACTCATGACTATTAAAAAACAACATGTCCTTTCCCTAGGAGTGTTACATTTAAGAGGATCTTAAGTCCTTTCCCCAAACTTTGGTACCTATAAGCACTATCCTTAACAAATTATACTGTAGCTATAGACACAGCTAAATTTTAATTTAAGAAATGCTACACAGTGTGTGGTCAACAAGACTATTTTTAACCTGATGGTCAACCACTGTGAAATTATATGTACTAAGATGTAGCTTCTGATACACACATCGACCCTAGAGCTGAAGAAATTTCTTCCCCCTTGAAATTGCAATGGTTTCTATGAAAGCAGAATGTTCTTTAGCAAATGCAAATACTCAGATTACACATTGCTCTCACACTCAGCCTGTTCTAGTTATAGATAATTCTCTAGTTTCTAAAAGAAAATCTCTTTACACAACAGGACGAGAATCACTGGCTCTTTCCTTAATGAATTTGGCATGTAAATGTTCATCTACACATAAGTTCATCTTCCAGAACTGCTCAATATCACCACTGTAAAAGCTGAGGCAGCGGGTATCCCTTTAGGCTCAAAGGTACTCCAGTCATTTGGTACCTTGAGGATCACAACTGCATGATGCTTTCAATCTCTACGAACATACGTGGATGAAATCAAGCTCTAGCACACACTTTTCACTGAAAAGTTTCATCGTGGTACTACCCAAGAGGTGTGAAACACACAGCTAATGCCAGCCTGGTCCTTCGCGTTGCACTTTCTGAGGAAATCATTTCATACAGCAGCATTTGCAGAATCGGATCACATACAAAGGGAAAATTCAAAACCTTTAAATCACTAGGACAATTTTTTCAAGCATTCTGTTTAAAAAAAGCCCACACATTATTTCCTTCTGCAATATTCCCAACAAATTTAAATTGCAGTACTGAAGCTAAGCAGAGACTTAGCAACTCTAAACTCCTCCGTGAAGAAGGCTAACTACAATTTAACTCCCAGTATCTTTTCCGATTGGATTGCCAGACAACCATTGTGTTATTACGCAACACATTTTGCGGCAGTACTTATTATTTAGGTGTTTATATTCATATAGATTTTATTACACTCTTACAAAACATAACATACATTTTTTTCCTGACAGATAATTAGATTACAATCTTTCAGTTTCCTAGTACAGTTTTCCTACTTAGGATAAGTGAACTCAGTCAACCAGCCACTCGGAAAAACCTTGGTGTCATCTACAGAGACCTACAACAATCACAAGAAGGTATTTCCATACCTTTTATCTGAGGCAGACAACATAGCAGTAGTTAAAAAGAATGTTACTCTCCATTTTATTTTTCTCCCTTGCAAGAAGGGCCATCCATGTCATCATAAACTAATGTTACCTAACAATCTAAAACAAATTCAATCAAGGAATGAAGACCTACAACACCTGCCAGGCTGCAATTGTTAGACTTCTCTACTTGCATAAATATCTTTTATCTGTCTTGCTTATCATTAACTACACATGGAAAATACAGATGATCTCCCTTTACATTGGTACACGCACAAAGATGTACAAGTACTTGCATCAAATCACAGCCTCCTGACAGCCTGAAAATCTTTTATGTTGCCTGAGAGCTTGACAGATTTGAATTGCATGCTGTGAAACACCTGACAGACCTCTTTTGGTTGTTGATAAACAGCAGCAGAATGTTTGTGATACATTGCTGGAAAAACAAAACCTTCAACTCAGCATAAGGTGTACACTTTTATTACTATAAAACGTTAGTTTCCACCACTGTCATCCGGTCATTGACTTGTTTCCTTGTGGCTGCGAGTTAAAGCAACTTCCAGTCATAAAAAGAGTTATTTGCCTCTTCACCACCATGAATCATACCACAAATACTGATGAAAATGTATTTTCCTTGGAAAACAGTCTGTCTAGACTATTCAAATTGAATGTACAATACATATATGGGCTC